ACGTAAAGAATGAAAACACACATTAAAAAGCAACGAAACTGTCAAGTGTGCCACCCGCCTTTTCAAAAGTCACACGATGGGCAACTAGACATTTCAAAATGTCCCACTACTGTTTGCAGCAAGGCGTTCAAAACAGCGTAGTCCACAAGAGTCCGAAGAGCATCATGAGAAATCGCTTCCCATTTTTATACCAGAAATTCAGTGAGCTGTGCAACATCCATTGTAGGGGGTGATTTGTTGACAACCTTCGACCAAGGACATCCCAGAGGTGCTCAGTCGGAGAAAGGTCATACGAAGGAGCTGGTCACGTCATCCTGATGATCTCATCTAAAGACATTCAACACAGGAGCATGACGGGGTCGATCGCTATCATTTTGGAGGATGGCATTACTACCTATGACCTCTAGAGCATGACGGACAGCTGGTCTCTAGATTTCGTTCTCTATCATGGGTTTGTCAAGTTGCATTGGATGGTGTAGAATGAGGTCGTGCCGTGTCCGTAGAAGCCTTCAAACACCATGACCGAACCCTTACCACAACGATCTACCTATCCTCCTAAATAATCTGAAAATGGCTAGTTATCTCGTCTCCAAACTCGAATCCTGCCATCATTGAATTGCACAGTTGATCGTAAGTGAAGAGGACTTGACTATATTGTTGCCTAGTCCATCGGATATCCTCGCGACACCGGTGAGCAGGAGTAAGAGCGATTCTGAATGCAGGGCGGGGAGCAGCCAGTCAAAATTCGTGTAGAAGTCTGCGACTGGTATTTTCACTGACATTACCGTTTACACTTAGTCTCAGCTGACATCTAAGAAGAACACATTACTGTTCGAAGGCGTATGGCTTACAGCAAGAGGTACTGGTCGACATATTTGTTTGTACTTATAAGGCGACCGGGTCGGGGGCAGTCCTCTATACTTCATGTGGCCTCACATCTCTTCAAATTTCTTTGCATAGCATACATACATACGTACACCACTGCAAGCCGTCTAGCAACTTCACAGATAGGTAAACCACTTTCAACCCACGCTACAGCCCTCATTCTTTGTTTTATGTTTTATGCCTTTTTAACTAATCAGCATCATGGCACATGGTTGTAACCCATCAGTGCTCCGTTCTTCTTCTAACTCAAGCCTGACTCTGAAGAATCGCAGTGCAGTGCATGAACTCTGTTGCACCGGGGCAGCACCGATAGGATACTCTTTTCGATTTCCAACTTCCAATGAATTTTATTACGTGTGTAACAATACACACTACCCAGAGACCAGGAGGACAATTTCTAAAAGACTACGTGGTAAAATCCCAGCACTCACCGGTGTTTGAACCCGAGACCTCTAGCATATGAGGCGGACACCATGCCTTGAGGACCCCCCTCCCCACCCCCCCCCCTCTTTCTTTGAAAGGACAACGTCATACTTAGAGCCAGCTAATGCCTGACAGCGTTCTAGGTGCTAGCAGCAGCTGATATTAAACAACGCTTACTTGTCCCTCATCAAGGGCTTGTGTAAAGCGTCATCGACAATGGTCTGTGCCTATTCAACGCTTACTTGTCCCCCATCAAGTGCTTGTGTAAAGCGTCATCGACAATGGTCTGTGCCTATTCACTGTTAGCAGATCCCAGCTAGAAAGACTGGACTGAGTACAGAATGAGGCCATGAGACTTGCACTCGGCTGCACAAAAGACACCTCCTGCCGCGACATGCCATATGTCTTGAGTTTGCCGACGATGGCTAACAGACACAAAGTTGCACAGTTCAAGATGTAGATGAAAGTATCGGTAGACGTTAACCACCCACTGCACAAAGCTATATACGTCACACAAAAATAATAAACCTCAAAATAGGCCGCTCTTTGATGGCCAAGGCTGAAGATTTAACCCAGCAGGTTTGTGATCTAGACAAGATTATCACGGAAAAGAATTTACGAATACACCAGTAGGCATGTAATTTAATATATAATGTTGTCATCACAATGGGGAAGTACTGCAGGGCCATAGACACAGAGGTCATAGTACTGATATATCAGCATTACCGCCTAGAAAGAAGACATCATTATCTGAATCAGTGGTTCTCAACCTTTCTAATACCGCAACCCTTCTGTCCAGTTCCTCATTTTATGGCGACCCCCTCCCCCCTAAACATAAAATTATTTTTGTTGCTACTTCATAACTTCAGTGAATATTTGTTTTGCGATGGTCTTTGTCGACCCCTGTGAAGGGGTCGTTCGATCCCAAAAACGGTCGTGACCCGGAATTTGAGAAGCGCTGATCTACACAATTGGATCCGTGAAGCGCGGATCAAATGTCAACATGGATGTACACATAAAAAAGGATGGGGAAAAACAGTAAAAGAGGGCAAAGTGGTTACTAGGCAATTGACTCAAGCATGACAATGGAGATAGCCGCCCCTTTTAGAGCACTAGCATGGACAGCCGAGCAAACAACCACACAGGCAGTAATTGTATGAGGCTCCATTACCATTCTTTTAAATAGATTCCTTGTAATAATATGAAATGTGGCAATACTTTAAGATATCGTGTATATACATGGCCTTCCCGTCTGGATTCCTGGGCCCCAGTGTGTTGGCGGGGAAGAGGGAGGGGCTAGACTCATTGCCCCCCCCCCCCTCCCCTTCCCCAACATACATATTTTGAGAGTCGACTAATTATGGGTTTCCTTCGAAGTCGGAGTGCATCTGCCTGATAGGTAAGGAATCAACAGTCTGCATAAAATAAGCCAGATCTGTAAAACGGATGTGCGCTCTAAAATCCAGTCATGGAATAGGACTAAATTCAAAAAACGGGCGAAGAGCAAGAACTTTCTCTCGGAGTTTACAGCTCATGAACACGAAGAAAAAGAAGATATATAGGGTGGTGTTTGTAAACTTTCACATGCGATGCCTAGGAAGAATACTTGGCATTAAGTGGCAGGACAAAATCACAAAAACTAAGGTTTTTTCCATGCTCAGTCCTCGAAGGTTCAGGTGGCTGGGTCAAACCTGGAGAATACAGGATGGCAAAGTCCGGTCACACCTGGAGAATAGAGGATGGCAGAGTCTACAAGGACATCGTTAGTGGTTAATTAAAGACGGGTAGAAGATGTCGAGGCCGACCTCCGCTACTGTATAAAGATGTGTGCAAGCGGGACATGAATGATACAGGTATTGAGGCAGACTCATGTGAACAAAACGCTATGGACCGTGTTGTGTGGAGAGGGAATATCAGGAAGGGAATGAGAATGAAGGAGGAAACTATTGCTTACAAGATGAGTACATAGCGTCTGAGAAGAAACGGATTAAACACAAATGTTGATAACAATGGTTCTAAAATCCCGTGCTATCATTGTGAAAGACTGACTATTCCTGACAAGGGCAGGTCTTGCTAGACAGACTCGCCATCACCATGGGCTGTGAGTCACATGATTCCTCATAGCCTTGCCGCTTCTATTGATAACATTATATATATATATATATATGTTAATGCTTTGATACTGCTCTGGGTATATTTCTGTTCCCAGTAGTACTATTCCCCTCCTACTGCTTTCAGTCCCAGCCATACATACATACATACATACATTCATACATACATACATACATACATACATACATACATACATACATACATACATACATACATACATACATACATACATACATACATACATACATACATACATACATACATACATACATACATACATACATACATACATACATACATACAGACATACATACATACATACATACATACATACATACATACATACATACATACATACATACATACATACATACATACATACATACATACATACATACATACATACATACATACATACATACATACATACATACATACATACATACATACATACATACATACATACATACATACATACATTCATAACATACATACATACATACATACATACATACATACATAAATACATACATACATACATACATACATACATACATACATACATACATACATACATACATACATACATACATACATACATACATACATACATACATACATACATACATACATACATACATACATACATACATACATACATACATACATACATACATACATACATACATACATACATACATACATACATACATACATACATACATACATACATACATACATACATACATACATACATACATACATACATACATACATACATACATACATACATACATACATACATACATACATACATACATACATACATACATACATACATACATACATACATACATACATACATACATACATACATACATACATACATACATACATACATACATACATACATACATACATACATACATACATACACAGAAAATAGTTATTAAATATGCGTCACATAAGTATTAAATATAATAATTTACATTCACAAATGTTACTTTGCTTGTGTCTTTTTAGTGTTTTAATAAAATCTTATTTTACATAAAGTGGTATTTTTTTTTTTTTTTTATACTTTCTTTTACATTTTGGAACAATGCGACACCACGAACATACAAATTACTGGTATCCTTTATAGCAACATACGCATATTAACATGCCATTATGTGTCATTAAAACTGTGATTGATCAGTGTTCAAATTCTTGTACATTCATAGTTTTGTGTTCTTTTTCATACAGTAAAATTGGACATTGTCATTGCCGCCACGGAATTGTATGTTGATGTAAATTTTCTTCAATGTTGTCTTATTAAACTTATTGTTAGGTCATAATGTGTTATATTTGGGAAGTCTTGTATTGTCTCTGGGGCAAAAGGCCATATATTCACACGGTTTATTTTTCAGCTGTATAAACACGGGGCTGGATAATCTATTACTCCCTGTTATGATGCGTAGAATAATTACTTCCTTAAAAACAATCAAACCTATTAACAACAAAACATCAGCTAATTATATACTGTTTTTGATTTCTAAAAGGTAATTCAGAAGAACTTGGGCCTTAAGTTCATTGACTCCTACACCATGATGTGTTCCGTCGAAGCTCATCACTGGTTCGGTCATATTGAAGAAATCCAGTATATGAATGCCTTTTCTCCTCATAAGTTCGTTAGCCTTGAGATTGTATTGTATACCATTTTCCTTTTGTTGATATTTGTAGCCTGGAGATTTCATTAGTCCAGCTGATGGCGCAGATAACCAGATCACTTTTGGCCAAGACGAATTTGCCAGACTCAGCAGTAGGGGGTTCAAAACCTAAGTTGACAAGAAAGCGGGGGGAAAACCCAGAATTATAAATGAATTAGATCCTTAAAAAACTAATATTAACTGAAAGGATCAACTCTTTACAATATTCTGATTACTCGATCTGCTGATCATTCAATATTTAAAAAAAAAATTAAAAAAAATATTGGCTATTCACTGAATAACGGTCCCAAATTATCGAGGCCGAAAATATACCCTAACAGGGCCTCAGTCACATGTCAATTGTGAACTTCCGAGGACTATACCACCACCGCCGAGAGTATCTTCCACGCCGCTACGCGCGGCGTGAATTGGGGTTAAACTAGTTGGCTGGGACTCATGAGCAAATAAAATAAAGGTAGCTGCAGGAGATGCGGTAGCTGCTGCTCTTGAGTCCCAGCCATCTAGTTTAGCCCCAATCAACGCCGCCCGTAGCGGCGTTGGAGATACTCTTATCGGTCGCGGAAGTCGCCGGAAGTTCGCAATTGACATTTTACTGAGGCCTTGATAGGGTAAATTTTCGGCCTCGATAATTTGGGACCGTTATTCGGAGGATAGCCAATACTTTTTTTTTCTAATATTGAATGATCAGCAGATCGAGTAATCAGACTTTGTGACACCGGGTGTTTATCGCTTGTGTGATATCCTGGTGGGGTACAGCATGCAAGCAAGCAATTAAACATTTTTTGTAAAAGTAAACAATATTTGTGTGTGTGTGTGTGTGTGTGTGTGGGTGGGTGGGTGGGTGTGTGTGTGTGTGTGTGTGTGTGTGTGTGTGTGTGTGTGTGTGTGTGTGTGTAAAAAAGAGCGGAGAAAGTGATTGTCAGAGATTTTTTTCGTAATAGGTGGGAGAACGCGTTTATCTGCAACTGTTAACAACAAAAGCAAAAAACAAAAACCATAAGGCAGCAGCTACCTTTCATGTGTTGTCCTTCTATTCTAGCTTGCTAATATGATAAAGAACGCGTCGAGTGTTTAGTGTTTATACTAACTTTTTAATTTCTGTTTCTTTTAAAAAGTGTAAAACCACATTTTTATCATTACTTAATATTTACTATGTCGATCTCTCTCTCTCTCTCTCTCTCTCTCTCTCTCTCTCTCTCTCTCTCTCTCTCTCTCTCTCTCTCTCTCTGTCTCTCTCTCTCTCTCTCTCTCTCTCTCTCTCAATTTCTCTCTTTTTCTCTCTCTGGCTCGTACCTACTCACGTCAGGCATGTGACCTCAAGCCTGTCCACTATAGCAAACATTGCAAAGAACACTAAAACCTCTCTCACCTTATTTTCAACCACCTGCAAATTGAACTGAAAGTGAAGGCCAACGCTTAGTAGAACGATAGAGTTAGGCTGGTCCCGGAGCTCTTTGACAGATTTCAGCATCTCATTCAATTGATCAGTTTTCCAAAATCCGATATCTCGTAGACGGGTCTGTAATAAACAAATTTTGAAAAGTATCACATCATCATCATGTATCAGATCCTTTACAAAACGTTGGTATTGTTACATTCAGTCTGAATAAAACACGGTCCCTCGCCAGTTCTCTCCCTCTTCATGGAGAGTCCTGCTTAAAGTGTCTCAGATCTCCTTTGCCCATCTTAGTGCTGGTAGACCCCAACCCCTACTACCCGGCATAATGCCCTCACACTAAGTTCTCGCCAATGAACTGTTAGTGTTTGATAATAGCCAAATTTTCTTCAGTTTCCAAGACAAGATTCATTATTAGAGATAACGATAGCTATGAAATGTTGTAATGACTAGTAGGTTTCTTTGTTACAGGAACAAAAACAACACGTGTGTATGGAAGGTATGAAGACAATTAACAATTACTAGCTGAGGGCATATGGTGGGTGAAACTGTATACCTTTCAGTAAATACATTTGCATTTGGGAGGAGAGGAGGTCTCAGTTCCCTTCCCCCCCCCCCCCCCCCCCACCCACCCACCCATCCCCGAAAAAAATAATTGGTTGAGAGGTGTGCTGAAGTTGTAGGAACCACCATATCCTAGCGCCCCTGCCAGCATCTATTCCAAAAGATGCTTGATTTACCAATGATTCCGGCATGAAGGGTGTGTCAGGTTATGCATGCACAAATGACGCTCTACTGCAGCAATCAACATCTATTTATATATTAACTGACAGAGCATTGTGGTATTGATTTTCAGGACATGATGGTATTGATTGTTTGAAATAATGTCCGAGTCGGTGAACATGAGACCCTTGACAAACGTGTCTCTTACGAAAACATTCTCCCATCTGCATTCCCCACAACCTTATTTCCCTCTTTTATCCTTTCCCCAAATGGCCATTAAAGCCTGAAATTACCACTTTTGTTGTTGTTTTTGCTGTGACAGCATCAGGGTCTGTGAGCCTGCGAGATTAGGGCCGCAATGGACACTGCCGTTTAGGATTTTATTCTTGCAGCTGATACATAACTTTGCCGACAATTCGAACCTGGGTTTCCCGCACGAATTCTAATCGTTCGTAACTGCTCAGCCAGCCGCTCATAGTCTGACGATCAGTTACTAAAGTAAATGTAAGCACGAAACCAGGTTACTTTGTCCTAAATGCGTACCTATAGTGAAGACACACATCATCCCGTTGTCCTATTATGCAACATTTCACAAAGGATAGTCACCCATATTTTGGATTTCTTTCTAATAACTGTGTGATAAATTTTTAAGGTCTGTTAAAAAAAGTTGTACCTTACTTTAAAAACTTGTAACCCAGTAATCATTCTATTTAAATTGTAGAAATATGGCAGGCAATCTGTTACAAATCATGTCCTTATAGGGAAATAATTACATACAGTCTGATTAAACGTCTAGTTTTTTTTTTTTTTTTTTTTTTATAGACTATATTGACAAAACTGTCGGATACATTAGCAAAGCCTACACAAAAAGAGGACAATATAAAAAGCGATAAGTAGCTCGAGGTGTATAATGTGCTACACTTGTAGCGTTATATAAGGAAATATCCATAGGATGTAAAGGGTTATAACAGGAAACATCGTGGAAACCAAATAGATTCATGCTGGATGTATCGAGTTATGAAGTAACTTATGACAACAGATTATTAGGTCGAGGGATAACCGGGTCTATACATATTGAGTAACTTAAGGAAATAGTCGTAGGTTGAATAGGAAAAACTGCCGTACCCCTTGTCAGTTGTTTCACTGCCGGCCAGCTTGTCAACTCTTGTCCCTGTCGGACATTTAGTCAACTTTTCTCACTGTTGCACACATTGACAGTTCTTTAAATGTCAGTTAACTTGTCATCTCATTCACTGAGGTACAGCTTTTCACTTCTGTCCCTGATGGATACCTAGTCAGCTCTTTTAACTGTCCGACGCCTTGTCATCTCTGTCAAACACCTTGTCAACTCTTTCATTTCGATCACCTTGTCAAGTCTTTCACTGCCAGTCAACTTGTCAAATGTTTTCCTTTCGCACTTATCGTGAACTCATTCACTGTCGAACATCGTATCAGCTCTTTCACTGTCGGTCGGCACGCCAAGTCTTTCACTGACAAACACCTTGACATCTTTTTTTTTTTACTGTGGGACAACGTGTGACTTTTTCAGTGTCGGTCAACTTGTGAAGTCTTTCATACGTCAAGTCTGGTACACATTGTCAACTATTTTGCTATAAACCCTCTCTCACCCCAGTATTTCCTTGTATATTCCTATACATCCCACGGAGCGTTCGAGTGTTTTCCTATATACGCCTACAGTTACATCATTTCACACTACCCTCCCTCCTTCCTGGTGTAACAGTCAGCCAACTAGCAACACTAAATTACCGCATTTAACCCCCTTTAATAGGAATAAACTCCACAGGGTAGCATGTACAGCAGGGATCTACCAATCGTCAGTAGAAGTAATCTCTCGTCGACAAACGTTTCAGCCCACGAGCTCCAAGACGTTTTCAGAGAGTGGGCCCACCTGATTTCATGAAGATCAGGGTTGGTTTCCCTGCTGCACGGAATTACCGGATGGTGTTCGGATAGGGACAAGACGACTTGGTAATTTTTCAGAAGGTACTGTGAGATAAGAAGTCGTCGCGGTAGCATAGTTAGAGCTGTCTGCGTACCTGGACGACCGAACGACAAGCCTACGATTGGTATACCGGACACATGTTGGACTTTTGTTAGCATGTGTCAGAGGAACACTGGCAGACAATTCGGACACGATGGACTTTCAAGGGATGAGAAACTCTTTTCCACTAGACACCCCGACCAGCTCACCGAGGCCCTCCCCTACGTTGTTCCGTTGCGTCCAAAGCCAGCTCGAGACCCTCTTAGCAACCTCGCCCAGACGTTTAAGTGTCCGTTTCCGTTCATTACCGCGCAAACCTAGTTCTTTAACCACATTGTAGAGTGAAGTGGAGACGAGACCTCTCGCTCCCACTTCGACGGCAAAGACACGTACTGTGTACGCCTCATCTCTTCTCAGACCGGCTGCTAAATCACTGTATTTCTCGAGCTTTTACGTGTGATTTTCTTCCATACGTGACTCATACGTGACGGTCAGCTCAATTAGGATGAGCTGCCGTTTCTCCGCAGAGTGGAGAACTATGTCAGGTCGCAGGCCGGTCTTCCGGATTAACTCAGGGTACCTTTCATGGCCTGGCATATCAACCGCCAGTAACCAGTCCCTCGCAGAGTCTAGCATAGATGGAGCGTATGCGTTTTTGTTGATTCTACCTTTGTGAATTTGCCCAGCCTTGAGGAAACGTATGGGGACGATGGTAGGACTGGCCCTAGCGTTGGCCCGCATCCTAGCCTGGTCAACAACGGCTGCTAACTCTTTTAGCACCTTGTTGTGTCGCCAGGTGTATCGGCCTTGACCTAGGGCTTTCCTGCATGCGGACAGAATATTCTCTAGCGTCTGCTTCGCTTTGCACAGTGGGCAAGTCGGATCGTTAGTCGCAGACCACTTAACCATGTAAACACCGGACGGTAATACACCGTACGTCGAACGAACGATAAAGCTCAGTCGCAGCGGTGTAATTCGCCAGATCTCACCCCATGTGAGTACTCTTGGCAATGCGCTCTCCAGGCTGACCCAATGGCCCTGCTGCGACTGTTGGGCTGCTTTCTGGACCCGAACCTCGTTTTCGTTGTCCCTAACTTGTTGTATCACCATGTCTCGGCGTTCTTCGGCTGTGGCTTTAGACCACCAATTGACCTTCCCGTGACCTAGGCCTCGACGGTCGGTTTGAGTGTATCCCTTATCTCCTTCAATTTTAGTGTATTCTGGGCAGATTCTATCGCATCGAGGACTCTCCACTTCTGACCAGTCTTTAGAGTGGGCTGGACAGCAATGACATTTGGGTCTGAGGACTCGCGTAAGAGCATGGCGAGTCTTACCTTGCGACTTTAAACTCTTCGGTTATCGACTTGAACGAGAGTACCAGCTTGGCCTGCTCACAATACAGAGCCACATCGGTCAGACCAGGAGGTGCACCAATCCACTTTCTTAAGGCTATGTTGATTTTTTTCTCCATGGTTTTCACTGCAGTCATCGTCACTTCGTAGACAAAACAGCGGCCAGAGGAGCTTTGGAATCAACATGAATTGGAGACACCATACCTTGAACTTCCCAATCAGCCTGCTACGCTCGATTGCGAGCAGACCTGTAGCTAATGACTCATGTATTCGCCGGACCTCCGCTCTATCAGATAACTTCGAATCGTAAACGCGACCGAGGCTCTTCACCGGTTCCTCCAGAACCGTGGGGATCTTATTCCTTGCCACCGTAAAACTGGTTGTCGCCACCCGACTCTTAAGGATTGACAAACTCCTCGACTTCTGCGGTTTAAACTGCATACCGCTCCATTGGACCACCGCGTCCAATCTTTTCAGGATCTTGCGGGCAGATTCCTCACTGCCCGTGATAATAGTCGTGTCATCCATAAAGGCACGTAGTGGAGGCATCCAGTGGTCCCCTATTTGAAGGCCCTGTCCGTAGCCGGCCGCACCGTCCAACATGATCTGCATGGCCATGACGAACAGTATTGGTGAGATCGTACACCCTATAACTATCCCAACTTGTAGCTCAGTCCACCTCGTGGTAAACGTCGAGGTAGAGAACTTTGAGAAATATTGCTCGATCATATCGTTGATCTGTGCCGGTACGTGAAACATGCGAAGGGCCTGCCACAGTAGCCTATGGGGAACTGCCCCGTAGGCGTTGGCTAGGTCCAACCATATAACTTGCAAATCAGTTCTCTCATGCTTGGCTCTCTGAATAGTCTCCCAAATCATAGTCGCGTGTTCAAGGCACTCAGGAACGCCCGTAATAACACCCTTCTGAACACTCGTATCGATGTACTTGTTAGCCATCAGATACTGTGTTAGCCGGCGAGCCATGACGGAGAAGAATATTTTACCCTCGACATTCAACAGCGAGATGGGCCTGAATTGGGAAAGACTCTTCGAGTCCTGCTCTTTGGGAATGTAGACCCCATTCGCTTTTTGCCACTCTGGACATATGTGTTTTTGGCTCCACGCTTGTCTCAACAAGACGTGAAGCATTCGTAGGATTTTCGGACAACGATTGTAAAGAACGTACGGAACACCATTCGGACCTGGAGCAGACTTGCCGCTGGGCTTTTTCACAACTTCCTCAACCTCAGACCAGAGGGGAGTTTTTTTAAATGGTCCCTTCGGCAACTTAGGCTGCATGAGGCCGCTAAAGATCTCTGGATTGTCATCAGGAGGCTCTCTCCTCTTTTTGTCAGAGTACATTTTGCGTACATGTAACTGAAGCTCTTCCTTATTGACAACCAGAGTCCCAGACTTCGGTTGCTCGAATAGACCTCGGGCAAACTGATACGGGTCCCTAAAGAATTTCTCTCGCTCCCTATTGGTTCTTCTCCTGTTATTACAGAAACGCTCAGCGTGACAGAGGGCACTGTGTTTGTTCTTTAAATGCAACCAAACTTCATGCAGCCCCTCCCTTTCGCAACCTGTAGCGGCTTTGAACCGTTTTCTGAGAGCATTCTTGTCTGCCCGACACTTCAGAATGTCCCTCTGTCTCCTGCTAGTATTCTGCTTGGCACCCGGTTGTGCCTTTTCCACTGTCCCGAACTCACGGGAGCAGTGTTCATATATTACATCACCAAATTTTGTAAGCTTGTCGCCTAACGACTTCTTTTTTAAATCATGTTTAAGTATCTCACATAATGTACCCTCCAACTCACACCACACCACCTTATCGCTCGCAGGTGGAAATCTGATCTTGGAACGCACTTCCTCGGGAATCATCAAATGTACGCCTCCGCAGTCGACGTCATGGGCCTCTCCGGGCGAGTGGGGAACACCCTGCCCGTCGTTCCCTAACGACTTAGAAACTACCACAGGAGTAGTAGTTTTGCGACGGCGTTTACTGCGTGGAGCACCCTCGCATTTCATCCTTCCGGCATGCGTTCTCAGACCATGCAACACCGTGAAGCTCTTTCCACATGTACAAAGCCAGCCCGGACGTTGGGCAAGAATCGGAGTCCGGGGACTAGCATTGTCGTCACCGTTTGTATCAGTTTGATTGGGCCCTTCATTCTCCCCCTCTTTCGAAGGGCCCTGGGGGCATATTTCTATATTGGTTCGCGAAATCGGAGGTATTATACTGTGTTAGGGGTGATCAACCCGGTCCACAGTCGACATCTGTCTCCAGATGTCAGTTTATCCCCCCGACGATACCGGGGAGCCAGTCTTTCCATGGGTGTCACAAGGTCTTTCCCGAGCGTCACCATTCTTTCATGGTAGTCTTGTAGGCTAGCCACGTACAATAGGAATAAACTCCACATAACCCCCATCCCCATCCCGACTAACTATAAATACCCCATCCCGCAGGGTAATGTGTCTCATCTTGATCTATCGATCTGTGTATTTTCTTATTTACACCGCACCACTGTATACGCTTTAGCACCGGTAGGAAAGGACTACCTGAAAACTTCCTGTATCACTTCTGGAGAATGATCTTCAGCAATTTAACGATCGCGAATATTGAATCATCATAATGGAAATACTATTAATTCCTATTGCAACATATATTGTGTGAGAGTGTGTATAAGTATTTGTGAACGTGTATACATGAATGCATGTGCACACGTGCCAGGTGTTATTACATTCATAAATATTCATATTTATCTTACCGTATTATTACATTCATTTGCGTTGACATCTATCCAAGGTGAGCATTCAGTTGTAAACATATAATGCCTGTCACAGTACTTTAGTGTATCTGAATATATAAATATAAATAAATATATATTGTATATATATATATATAAATTTAAACAAATCTGATTATATGCATCAAGAGTAGAGAACAGTTTTTTTTTTCAGTGCCAGTCTTCATGTGACAGTATGTTGCTCTCACAAGTCTGTGCGTGACTGTATGTTGCTCTTACAAGTCTTCATGTGACTGTATGTTGCTCTTTCAAGTCTGTGCGTGACTGTATGTTGCTCTCACAAGTCTGTGCGTGACTGTATGTTGCTCTCACAAGTCTGTGCGTGACTGTATGTTGCTCTTACAAGTCTGTGCGTGACTGTATGTTGCTCTTACAAGTCTTCATATGACTGTATGTTGCTCTTACAAGTCTCCATATGACTGTATGTTGCTCTTACAAGTCTTCATATGACTGTATGTTGCTCTTACAAGTCTTCATATGACTGTATGTTGCTCTTACAAGTCTGTGCGTGACTGTATGTTGCTCTTACAAGTCTGTGCGTGACTGTATGTTGCTCTCACAAGTCTGTGCGTGACTGTATGTTGCTCTCACAAGTCTGTGCGTGACTGTATGTTGCTCTCACAAGTCTGTGCGTGACTGTATGTTTCTCTTACAAGTCTTGCGTGACTGTATGTTGCTCTTACAAGTCTTCATATGACTGTATGTTGCTCTCACAAGTCTTCATATGACTGTATGTTGCTCTCACAAGTCTTCATATGACTGTATGTTGCTCTTACAAGTCTTCATGTGACTGTACGTTGCTCTTACAAGTCTTCATGTGACTGTATGCTGCTCTTACAAGTCTTCATGTGACTGTATGTTGCTCTTACAAGTCTTCATGTGACTGTATGTTGCTCTTACAAGTCTTCATGTGACTGTTTGTTGCTCTTACAAGTCTTTATGTGACTGTATGTTGCTCTTACAAGTCTTCATATGACTGTATGTTGCTCTTTCAAGTCTTCATGTGACTGTATGTTGCTCTTACAAGTCTTCATGTGACTGTATGTTGCTCTTACAAGTCTTCATGTGACTGTATGTTGCTCTTACAAGTCTTCATGTGACTGTATGTTGCTCTTACAAGTCTTCATGTGACTGTATGTTACTCTTACAAGTCTTCATGTGACTGTATGTTGCTCTTACAAGTCTTCATGTGACTGTATGTTGCTCTTACAAGTCTTCATATGAATGTATGTTGCTCTTACAAGTCTTCATGTGACTGTATGTTGCTCTTAAAAGTCTTCATATGACTGTATGTTTCTCTTACAAGTCTTCATGTGACTGTATGTTGCTCTTACAAGTCTTCATATGACTGTATGTTGCTCTCACAAGTCTTCATATGACTGTATGTTGCTCTTAAAAGTCTTCATATGACTGTATGTTGCTCTTACAAGTCTTCATGTGACTGTATGTTGCTCTTTCAAGTCTTCATGTGACTGTATGTTGCTCTTACAAGTCTTCATGTGACTGTATGTTGCTCTTACAAGTCTTCATATGACTGTATGTTGCTCTTACAAGTCTTCATATGACTGTATGTTGCTCTTTCAAGTCTTCATGTGACTGTATGTTGCTCTTACAAGTCTTCATGTGACTGTATGTTGCTCTTACAAGTCTTCATGTGACTGTATGTTGCTCTTACAAGTCTTCATGTGACTGTATGTTGCTCTTACAAGTCTTCATGTGACTGTATGTTGCTCTTACAAGTCTTCATATGACTGTATGTTGCTCTTACAAGTCTTCATATGACTGTATGTTGCTCTTACAAGTCTTCATGTGACCATATGTTGCTCTTACAAGTCTTCATGTGACTGTATGTTGCTCTTACAAGTCTTCATGTGACTGTATGTTGCTCTTACAAGTCTTCATGTGACTGTATGTTGCTCTTACAAGTCTTCATATTACTGTATGTTGCTCTTACAAGTCTTCATATGACTGTATGTTGCTCTTACAAGTCTCCATATGACTGTATGTTGCTCTTAAAAGTCTTCATATGACTGTATGTTGCTCTTACAAGTCTTCATATTACTGTATGTTGCTCTTACAAGTCTTCATGTGACTGTATGTTGCTCTTACAAGTCTTCATATGACTGTATGTTGCTCTTAAAAGTCTTCATATGACTGTATGTTTCTCTTACAAGTCTTCATGTGACTGTATGCTGCTCTTACAAGTCTTCATATGACTGTATGTTGCTCTTACAAGTCTTCATATGACTGTATGTTGCTCTTACAAGTCTTCATATGAATGTATGTTGCTCTTACAAGTCTTCATATGACTGTATGTTGCCCTTACAAGTCTTCATGTGACTGTAGGTTGCTCTCACAAGTCTTCATGTGACTGTATGTTGCTCTTACAAGTCTTCATATGACTGTATGTTGCTCTTACAAGTCTTCATATGACTGTATGTTGCTCTTTCAAGTCTTCATGTGACTGTATGTTGCTCTTACAAGTCTTCATGTGACTGTATGTTGCTCTTACAAGTCTTCATGTGACTGTATGTTGCTCTTACAAGTCTTCATGTGACTGTATGTTGCTCTTACAAGTCTTCATGTGACTGTATGTTGCTCTTACAAGTCTTCATGTGACTGTATTTTGCTCTTACAAGTCTTCATATGACTGTCTAAATCCAGCCTGAGCTACATTAATCTCTTCTTCCATTTTCTTTTGCAGTCTTCTCATTATAATTTTTAGTAGAATTTTACTTGCATGACTGATCAGGGCAATAGTTCGATAGTTTGTACATAATTTCAGGTCACCCTTTTTTGGTATTGGAATGAAGATAGTTTACAGCAAATAGCAGAGCAAAATTGGGAATATAGAAAAGGTGTACACAAAGTTTTTGTGGATTTTAAAAAGGTGTATGATAGTGTTTATTCAAACAGTTTATGGAATGCTATAAAGGACTTTGGAATACAAAAAAAAAAAAACGTTAATTAGCATGACCAAACTATGTTGCTCTTACAAGTCTTCATGTGACCATATGTTGCTCTTACAAGTCTTCATGTGACTGTATGTTGCTCTTACAAGTCTTCATATGACTGTATGTTGCTCTTACAAGTCTTCGTGTGACTGTATGTTGCTCTTACAAGTCTTCATGTGACCATATGTTGCTCTTACGAGTCTTCATGTGACTGTATGTTGCTCTTACAAGTCTGTGCGTGACTGTATGTTGCTCTTACAAGTCTTCATGTAACTGTATGTTGCTCTTACAAGTCTTCATGTGACTGTATGTTGCTCTTTCAAGTCTTCATGTGACTGTATGTTGCTCTTACAAGTCTTTATGTGACTGTATGTTGCTCTTACAAGTCTGTGCGTGACTCTTACAAGTCTTCATGTGACTGTATGTTGCTCTTACAAGTCTTCATGTGACTGTATGTTGCTCTTACAAGTCTTCACATGACTGTATGTTGCTCTTACAAGTCTTCATTTGACTGTATGTTGCTCTTTCAAGTCTTCATGTGACTGTATGTTGCTCTTACAAGTCTTCATGTGACTGTATGTTGCTCTTACAAGTCTTCATATGACTGTATGTTGCTCTTACAAGTCTTCATGTGACTGTATGTTGCTCTTTCAAGTCTTCATGTGACTGTATGTTGCTCTTACAAGTCTTCATGTGACTGTATGTTGCTCTTACAAGTCTGTGCGTGACTGTATGTTGCTCTTACAAGTCTTCATGTAACTGTATGTTGCTCTTACAAGTCTTCATGTGACTGTATGTTGCTCTTTCAAGTCTTCATGTGACTGTATGTTGCTCTTACAAGTCTTTATGTGACTGTATGTTGCTCTTACAAGTCTGTGCGTGACTGTATGTTGCTCTTACAAGTCTTTATGTGACTGTATGTTGCTCTTACAAGTCTTCATATGACTGTATGTTGCTCTTACAAGTCTTCTTTTGACTGTATGTTGCTCTCACAAGTCTTCATGTGACTGTATGTTGCTATTACAAGTCTTCATGTGACTGTATGTTGCTCTTACAAGTCTTCATGGGACTGTATGTTGCTCTTACAAGTCTTCATATGATTGTATGTTGCTCTCACAAGTCTTCATATGACTGTATGTTGCTCTCACAAGTCTTCATGTGACTGTATGTTGCTCTTACAAGTCTTCATGGGACTTATGTTGCTCTTACAAGTCTTCATGTGACTGTATGTTGCTCTTACAAGTCTTCATGTGACTGTATCTTGCTCTCACAAGTCTTCATGTGACTGTATGTTGCTCTTACAAGTCTGTGCGTGACTGTATGTTGCTCTTACAAGTCTGTGCGTGATTATATGTTGCTCTTACAAGTGTGTGCGTGACTGTATGTTGCTCTCACAAGTCTGTGCGTGACTGTATGTTGCTCTTACAAGTCTGTGCGTGACTGTATGTTGCTCTTACAAGTCTTCATGTTACTGTATGTTGCTCTTACAAGTCTTCATATGACTGTATGTTGCTCTTACAAGTCTTCATATGACTGTATGTTGCTCCTAAAAGTCTTCATATGACTGTATGTTGCTCTTACAAGTCTTTATGTGACTGTACGTTGCTCTTACAAGTCTGTGCGTGACTGTATGTTGCTCTCACAAGTCTGTGCGTGACTGTATGTTGCTCTCACAAGTCTGTGCGTGACTGTATGTTGCTCTCACAAGTCTGTGCGTGACTGTATGTTTCTCTTACAAGTCTTGCGTGACTGTATGTTGCTCTTACAAGTCTGTGCGTGACTGTATGTTGCTCTTACAAGTCTTCATATGACTGTATGTTGCTCTCACAAGTCTTCATATGACTGTATGTTGCTCTTACAAGTCTTCATGTGACTGTATGTTGATCTTACAAGTCTTCATGTGACTGTATGTTGCTATTACAAGTCTTCATGTGACTGTATGTTGCTCTTACAAGTCTTCATGTGACTGTATGTTGCTCTTACAAGTCTTCATATGACTGTATGTTGCTCTTACAAGTCTTCATGTGACTGTATGTTGCTCTTACAAGTCTTCATGTGACTGTATGTTGCTCTTACAAGTCTTCATATGACTGTAT